CTAAAAGTATTCAGCGAGTACTATTTTGTTGAGGGGGAGTCAACTGAGGAGCTGAGAGAACTGAGGAGTCGACTACAGCATGAAGGGAGTCGGCTAAACAGGGAATTAAACTACTTTTATATATGTTATTTTGTCATCATCAAAAGAGGGGAGATTGTTAGATTTAGATATTAATGATGAAGAATAACATATTGTTGTTTGCAGGATCACTTGAGATGCAAAGAAGGATGCGAGCAAGTCTATCAATGATGTACGAACGAAGACTAGAAATGAAGGAGTAAAAAAAAAGAATGCAAAGTTCTGCCAACATAAGCAAGAAAGGAAGCCCCAAGATTAAAGCGATATGTAAAAGATACGACAACCAGGATGATGGAGTATAAAGAAAGAAGGACCAAGATTTAAGGAGATCTAGACTAAAATTGCGCCTACTGTAATTGCTGAAGATATGCGTCAAAAAGGAAAGCTATCAATCCCATGATCGAGGAACAACTTAAGGACAAATTATAGGCGATCTTCTTTCAAGAAGGAAAAGACCGGCAATGATGGACCATCTATGAAAGCTCCGCACTTATTCTTGGAATGAACCTTAACAGATTCAACTCCAAGTATCAATTCTCTTGGGATCCCAAATCTTTCAATGGTCTGCCAAAAGTACATCAAGCCAAATTTCAAATATATAATGCAGATTATCAAGGAAGATTTATATACTTTGATCATACCAGCTTTGTACTCTTTGTTCTACTCTAAACAATCATTATAATCTTAACAAAGTTTACTGTGTAATCAGTAGAGAGAAGAAAGAGAAAAACATTGGTGAGGCATTGTATCGAAAATATCACGAGCGTACTTAGATCCAAAAGTGAGTTGGTGTTTGGAGATAACATCAACACAATTGTACGAAATTATCAAGGAGCTTTGAAGAGAGAACGCCCTTGCAACCCAAGAGGATTGGAGTATGATTCACATTGAATACGAACCAATATAAAAATCTCGGTGTCTTTAATTCTTGCATTTTACTTCTGATTTTAGTTATATTCTGTTTTTATTTTCAGTCGTCTAATTGGTAAACTAGTCAACTACTTAGGATTCAAAAAGAAAATTGACAATTCATTCCACTTTTTCAAATTGCAGATCCAACAAAAGAAGAAAGCTACTGGAAGGCTGCTGATTATCAATTTTGATCAGAATTATACAAATGTAAAGGATTATATCAATGTAAAGAACTAGGTTTGGGCTTGATCCCCTGAGGAGATTAGTTGGGGTGGGGGGGGGGGGGGGATTGTAGACAGCCTAAAGGGACAATCTGGTACACTAAGCTCTCGTTATATGCGGGATCCAGGGAAGAGCCGTACCATAAGAGTCTATTGTACGCAGCCTGTCAAAAACAAAAGATAATCAGGTCCAGTCCTTGTATTAAACAAAAATAATTTTGTGTTGGTTCTCTTTATAAGTGAACAATATGTACAAAAAGGCTTTTTGTCAAGTAAATTTGGGGGTCAAGTGATTTTTTGGCTTTTTTACAAACTTGTTTTTAATTTTATGACCCCATCTCTTTTTTTACACATGTGAGATTTACTTTTACACGTAAGAGATCTAAAAAGATCATTTTCTTAAATTCAAAATTGTAAAGGGCCGTGATGTACAAATAACACGTAAATTTGGCTAGCAATTACAGTACATTCTCTTTCCAATTTTACTTTGAAATGTGCTTAGCATGGCAATAGAAATCAAATCTATCAGTTTACAAGGACATCTGATCCGCTGATTAGAAAGAAAAGTTGAGATGGAACATGAGATTTTTTACTGCAACAGTACAAATTGCTTACATATGGATATGTACATTTATGATCTTGAACTGTATCCAAAAGTATTAAGACACGAAGTTCCCATATCCTGAATCATTCTTTCCAAAAACTTTTAAAACACAACACACTTGACTTAATAAACAACATGTAGTTGTAAACTGAATATTGGAAACTGCAGTCCACTTAATGCACTTTGGCCTTCAGAATTTTTTTTTGGGTGGGGGAGGGAGGGATTGGGGTCTCGAAGACGATCAGATACCGTCCTAATTTCAACCATAAACGATATCAACCAGGGATCGACGGATGTTGCCTTTAGGATTCCGCTGGCAACTTATGAGAAATCAAAGTTTTTGGGTTCGAGGGGGAGTATAGTCGTAAGGCTGAAACGTAAAGAAATTGACGGAAGGGCACCACCAGGAGTGGAGCCTGCGGCATAATTTACTAGGTCCAGACATAGTAAACGATCGACATACTGAGACCTCTTTTTTGATTCTATAGGTGGTGGTGCATGGCCACTCTTAGTTGGTAGAGCGATTTGTTTGGTTAATTCCGTTAACGAACGAGACTTCAGTATGCTAACTTGCTATGCGGAGGTATTCCTTCGCGGCCAACATCTTAGAGGGGCTACGACCTTTTACGCTGCGGAAGTTTGAGGACTATTTTTTCAGTTATTTTTTTTGTGCTTAAAATCAAAACAAAATTAAATTTTATCGATTTTAAAAATTAAAAACCAAAACCAAATGGGTGTGTCGAATTGTTTTTCCTGTTTGAACCAATTTTCGGTTTGGTCAATTTTTCAGTTTCCCATGAATACCCCTAAGCTAGTCTTCTTGATTTGATGTTATTTGACTAAATTAGTTATTGAGGATCGTTTATTTATTCAGAAGATTTATTTTAAATTTGAGATCATTTGGATCAGATTTGTGGTGGTTTGCTCGAAATTGGAATTGCAATTTTGAAGAATATTTTGTTGAACAAAACACATAAAAATTATACCGATTGGGTAGACTTTGATTAACTGTTCAATAGATAGACCAAATGCAGATAACGCAAAGTCATGTCAATCTGGTAGAATTTGGTGAACAATTGAACAAGCACAAAATCATGATAGAGCTTTAAAATAATCTAATTAATAATCATATCATTATGGTAGAGTTTGGTGAACAATTAAACATTCATAAAGTCATGCCAATAAGTAGAGTTTAGGAACAATTAATAATATAGGTAGAGTAAATATAACAAAAAATTCTACCAATCTGATAGAGAAAAACCTGATTAGCAATAAGTATTTGTGGGACCGGAGGTCATTTTCTAAATCTATACTATATTAAAAGCACGAAGGTCCTTAGTGAAATGTCGTTCGTCTTTTTTACCCTTTAAAAATAAAGTTTACACTAGACATAATAGTCATTTAATAAGTTTTTCCTAATATTTAGGATATTGAAAATAAAAAACAATTATAATTGTAATTACTCAATTTTTTCATATTTGAAATATATAGGAAATCCTAAAAATATGTGATATTTGGAAACATAATTAAAGAATCTCGTATGGTACACTTGATGTAGGCGCATATTTGAGTCCCTACCATATAATTAAAACATCATTAGCTTAAAAATACTACAAGTTTAAAATTATAAAATTTAAAGGTTAAATAAAATGTTGAATAAATACTAAGAGTTCAAAAAAATCAATTAGGTAACTTCGATAGCTGGCGGAAACATCAAAACTCAAAGTCATATTTCTCATTTATTGAGCAAACTAAAAATATCAATATTTATCTTTTCAGTAACTTATATTTTCAAAACTTTTGATTTTATAATGAAAGCATATTATTTTTATACCGACTTAGATACGCGTGCAAAGTGCGTATCATAAAACTAGTACTTTAAAACATACGGATAATATTTAAAGATCATAGAGCCATTCCTGTCAATCACTCATTCGAAATAGAGATGTGGAAATAATATAAGTGATAGCCCACTAAAATACATTTAGCTTTTTATGAATGCAAATATGCTTTGAATTCTCCAATATACACTTGTAAATTTAACACATAATTAATTAAGGGCAGATTACTATGGTAATTATTAATCGTAATTAACTGAATATGATCAGGACTAAAATAAAATGTTTTCATCAAATATATTATTCTATTCCTGAATGATAATATGAATCCACTGAAACTTCTACATATATAAGAAGATGCAAAAGGAAAGAAGTGATGATAATCAAAGAAGGTAAGGGAGAGAGAACTCGTTAAAAGATAGAAAGAGAAGCTTGTCATGTGAAAATAATGGGAAATTACAAGGGCAACAATTGGCTATAATAAATAGTAATAACTCTTAAATAACATGTCAATTATGGTAATTAAAAAAGGACGAATTTTTTTCATCATTAGTAGAAGCGAGAGTTTGATAACTAGGAGAAATTTTACTATGTGAGTCACATAACCAACATTACTTATGCGAGTCTAGTTTATTTTTTGACAAGTGGACTCATGTTCCTACTTACTTATTTTAAAGCATAAGCTAAAAAAGGCAATATTTAGGTCTACTCTTTTTCCTAATTAGAGGCTTAACTAATGGACAATAAAAGGAAAAGAAGAAAGTAAAAGATCTAATTCATTACTCCTATTATATTATTATAATATTATAATAAAGAAAAAAAAGTAAACTACGGTGAAAAAAATTGCATTATGATCTATGTACTCTTCAAAGCAAAAAATAAGTTGACAAAAGCAATTACATTAAAATGACTTTTGTTGTATTTTATGATAATCCAATCACTTAGTACAAGAAAAAATAACCATGACAAACTGGAAAAAGAAAATGAGTTTCAAAAAGACAAGGAAGAAGAAGCTAACGACGACAGTCACATACAACCTATACATAATGAACAATTTTGTATCTGAAATGCTTCGCAAAAATAAAATATAACAATGTAAACAAGCTATAGTAAACTATGTTGCTCTGAATACAATTAACATACACCATAATAACACTACTACATAGGATATACACAATTGCATCAGCAGACACAAATTATAAATCAAATATATGTTGACACTTCAAATTATTCATACTATAAATTCAGTTCATCCATAAATCTAATCCATAACTAAAATAAATGCGTACAATCTTGTCCGTCTCAATACTAGTAATTCCAACTCAATTACTAATTCGATTTCTACACTCAATTCGCTTGGCCACTAAAATCAACATTTTTTCCAGTGATGTTTGAACTTTGGTTCTCAATGCCACCTCCAATTTGGTTAGTTGAAGCCTGAGTCAACTGTTGTGTGAAGCTAGTGTTTTGATCTCCATATAACTGCATCATTGAATTAAAAGGAGTAAATCAAAAAATCAAATCAAGACCAATAAGTAAATTAAAATATAAATACTAGTAACAAATTGAAAATTATAACTTGATAGTTTAGAGATTGAACCTCAAAATTTAACCCCAAGGATTGTTGCTCATGTTGTTCTGTTGCTCTAGCTTTTAATGTCTTTTGTGGTGCCCGCCTCTTCTTTTGCTCAGTTCTTGATTTTAATCTTCCGTATCCATTTCGATTACCCTTTTTCTTATTGGATCCAAAACTTGATCATTGAATCCCAAAGAAGGGCCAACATATGTACTAGATTTGGAACAACTCCTATGGGTACCTTCTGCATATATTTCACTTTGGAGTTTAGTGATCTCAACCCTTGCTTGATACAAATATTATCTAGCAATTTCTTCAGACTCGGCATCATTTGCAGCTAAAGTCATAACTGTAAATGATTCTTTCATCATCCTGTTTATTCCCTTTGTCCATCTTTTCAAAATATATTGTGCAGGGATATAAGAAAAATCCAAGTCAATAAACAGAACTTTTAGTGCATGGCAACATAACCAACCCAAAGATTCAAACATAAGACAACTGCAACTTATGGAATTTTCCATAGAATTGAATTGCACTGTCTCAATTTGTCCGCCTTCTCGCTTGAGGATTGTGTATGTGTGACAGGTGCCATTAATTTCAGTATTGATCACCTTTTAGGACATCCCCTGCAAAAATTCATGTTGAAATCTTGTAAATATAGTTCTAGTGTATAAAGTTGCAGCATGCTTTAATAACCTACAATCATCTATTGCAAGTTTAGGTGTTCCTCGACATTTATAATCTTCTGTCGCCTCAATGTCACGCATTTCAGCTGCCCGTTGCTCATAATGATTAACAAATTCAGTTAAACTCATAGTCTTGCAAGCCATTTCTGTGAAGACTCTATTAGTGCTCTCACTCCTCTGAGTTGATTTAATATCCGCTAAGAAAATAGATCGACTAAACGCAGGACACCACTTTTCCCTCAAGTCATATAACCTTTGGAGCCAACTATTACTCCCACAATCCCATTCTTCAATCATTTTTTGCCACACCAACTCAAACTCTGATTCCGACTTGCACCACCATAAGAGTTTATCAAAATATTTTTCTCTAAATTCCGGTTTCCAATAAAGTTGAGGTATATTCTTTTGGGCATTCCTATCAATATGCCATTCACATAAACGATGACAAGTATCAGGAAAAACTTCTTTAATAGCAGCCGCTATTGCAGGAGCTTGATCGGTAAATATAGTTTTGGGTGATATGCCTCCCATTGCCTTCAAAAAAGTACAAAATAGCCAAACAAAAGAACTAGTTGTTTCATCACTTAAGAATGCACATCCAAAAAAAATATTTTTCCAATGATTATTTACACCCACAAATGGAGCACAAATCATATCATATTTATTTGTACGATATGTAGTATCGAAAATCATCACATCTCCAAAACACTCATAATGCAATTTAGATATACTATCTCTCCAGAAAAAGTTGCACATCCTTCCATCTTCATCAACTTGAAAAACGTGTAAAAAAAACGTTTGAATCCTCTGATTGCATATGCATAAACGATCCACAGAGTTTGAGCATCTCCACTGTTAATCATACTTCTTTTACGTGCTTGTATGAAGTTATCAGCATCTTGTTCAATAAATCTAGCATTTTCAATACTACCTGCTTCATTTTGAAAGTAACGAACAACTTTTTTGGTGCGAATACCGGCATCTACCATAGAACTGAGAATGTCTTTAGTAGCAGTTGTAAGATTTCGGCCAGACAATATAAAATGTCTCAAATTTTCCTCGATCATCGGGTGGTTATGCTCATCAGAAAATTCGAAAACTTCCCATTTCTCATTTGAAATCTTAAATTTTATGCGAGCCATACAACCACATCTATATTCTAACCTTTGACGTTTTCTTTCTAGATAATTAGAATACAAAGGAGATTTCCCTTCACAAGAACAAAGAAATAAACACCTTGTTAATTCTTTGTTTCTGTTGTAAGTTTTTGCTCCCTTTCGAATGCCAAAACCTTTTGCTAAAGCATAGGAATTGTATGCTACGTATGATTCATCTTCAGAACCAAATTTCATCCCAATCTTAATAGCAAAGTCATTGTTGATGTTCGATACATTATGGACGAATGTGGAACAATCTTGATCATTAGCAGTATAATCTACAATAATATAATCTAAATTAGAGGTACAATATTTACACATAAATAATAATAAAACTAAATTACGTTTTCCATTAAAAAAGCGAGCACTTGAAACTAATAGTCTTTAAAGTTCATGTTGCTTACCTTCACCTTCAAAATTAATATCTTCAGCAGAGTGATCCTCCATATTGTTGAGCATAAAGTGTATGCTTTCTTCTTCACCGTGGAAAGGATGCTAAGAAATAAGATTTTCAATAAAAAAAAAATTTGTCAAAAAGCAGACCTAGATCTTATATACATAGTATAGTATAAGGACCAGAGTATCTGTTAATGGAAAAATTGGATTCTTCAATATATACATCGCCTAAAGGAAAGGAAATTGCAGTAAAGTCATCCATAAACACACTACATATATCATAATGCAATTTTTTTCAACGTAGTTTACTTCACTACATAGATCATAATGCAATTTTTTTTACCGTATTTTATTTTTTTTTTCTTTATTATAATATTATAATAATATAATAGGAGTAATGAAATAGATCTTTTACTTTCTTCTTTTTCTTTTATTGTCCATTAGTTAAGCCTCTAATTAGGAAAAAGAGTAGACCTAAATATTACCTTTTTTAGCTTATGCTTTAAAATAAGTAAGTAAGAACATGAGTCCACTTGTCAAGAAATAAACTAGACTCACATAAATAATATTGGTTATGTGACTCACATAGTAAAATTTTTCGATAATCGATAACTAGGGGTGTTAAATCTTGTCCACATAGTCTTAACTCACTACTAAAAATCCGGAAAAAAGCGACCAAAATTTGGCGACCAAAATTGGTCTGTCAGGAAAAGCGACCAACGTTGGTCGCTAAATTGGAGAAAATAATTAAATAATTATTTTAAATACATTAGCGACCAAGGTTGGTCGCTTTTTGGTCGCTAATTTGGTCAAAATGTTGACCGGACTGGTCGGACTTGCTTGGTCAAAGAAATGCTGAAATTAGCGACCAAAGTTGGTCGCTAAAGTGGGACCCACTTATCAAATTTTAATAATTATATTATTATTTAGAAAAAATTATAAAATATAAATAAATATAATTCAAAATTAGCGACCAAAGTTGGTCGCTCACGAAAGGGGAAGCAGATAGAGACCAACTTTGGTCGCTAATCTGGGACCCAGTTATAAAAATTAAATAATTATATTATTATTTAAAAATAATTCAAAATTAGCGACCAAAGTAGTCGCTTACTAAAGGGGAAGCAGATAGAGACCAACTTTGGTCGCTAATCTGGGACCCAGTTCTAACGTTTAACAATTATATTATTAGTTTAAATATTATATAAAATTATAAATAAATTTATTTAAATTTAGCGACCAACGTTGGTCGCTAAATTTAATTTTCTGGATATTTAGCGACCAACTTTGGTCGCTAATTTGAATTTCTGGACAATTAGCGACCAAAGTTGGTCTCTTTTCAGGTCAACATTGGTCAAAATTAAAAATCACTTTTGTATTTACTATCTAAATAATATAAATATAATCCGTTAACACTTTTGTAATACAAGGGATGAATACACTAAAATATACTCTAACATGCTATATATGTAGTTAAAGTAGTACAACGAAGCGTGTT